TGTTTTGGTGTGAGGTAATTGAATGAGCTGCTTCAGATGGCAGACTTTTCTGACAAGCCAGTGCTCCAAATGTAAAGACTTTATAGCGTAGTATGCTGCTGCACAGCTACTGCAGCAACTCGAGACAGTTACAGTTTTTTTGCATTCACTACAGTCTGTGTCCCCACACCTTCAGTGTAGCCTTGTAATGTTAGCTCACAATTTTATGGATAAGTTGCTCTCAAAGAGGTGTCAGAATAGGCCTCTGTACCTTTTTTGACAACAATCTTGTGAATTGTGACTCTCAGGCTGAGAATCACTAATTTAAAAGGCATGTTGTTTGGAGGATGCTTGATAATTGATGCTGGGTGCCTCCTGGTGGATTTGAGAGACATAACATTGGCTTAGAAATCTGGCAATTACTGCAGTTACATGTTCTGCTTATTGTCTTTGCAAAATATGTATATATATATATATATATATATATATATATATATATATATATATATATATATATATATATATATATTTAATATTATATTAGTTAAAAAAAAACGGAAAATCTGAATTTGATTTCCAGTCTTATCTGACAGTCCTAAAGTAAATGCACTGTTGAATATACAGTATGTTGTTTCTTTAGATGTAAGTCTATTTAAGAGAGTGTAAATTCAAAATGCACCCACTTTCAGTGAGCTAAACAGGGTTTTTTTTTGTAATATAGCATTTAATTACAGATTAGAAAGCGAGCTGGCAAGCTAAGCAAACTAATGTTTGGTTTACCAGCTTACTGTCATTCACATGAACCAGATTTTCCCCGTCGAATGTTGCGTGCCACATCCTTTCTGATTACATGAGTGGCCTTGGTGGACTGTTCCATTTTGCAGAATGTGATAAAAACAAGGAGCTTTCATAGCAGTTTACAGCTTTAAAAGTCAATCAGCCAATCAACAGTTTTGAACTGCAACTATACATTCATAATGCTTTATTTAAAATCTTCAGATGTTTGAAAGTTTACATCTTTCCCAGCATTGATATCTATTCATTAAGGCAAAACATTCAACTGTATCAAGGCTAGTACTATTTTCCAACACTCTAAACTCTGCTTTCATTCACCTGGGCATTTGAGATGAAACAATCTACACACTATCAAACAAATTGTGTTATAAGCTGATGTCATTTGAACTCTCTTCTTTGAGGTGTAACACAGTGCCTCATAAGCGCTTCTATTCTTGTTCTTCACACATTTCAAAAAGTCACTGCACTAATAACGTTCTAACATAGGCAGCCCTCCACTCCCAAAATCTGTGCTCTCAGATATTGCCACCACTTACTGTCTCTCACACACACACACACACATCTTTGATTAGCTTTCATGGGCCTTGTGTAACATTTGCACTAAAGACACACAGTAATGTGTGACTTATCACAAATGAGCACGTTCCACCTGAGTTGCTGCAGACAACCAGCAAACGAAAACATAACGCAAAGCTGGCAGCCTCTAAAAAGCTCCCTGACAATCTGCGAAAGTCAACACAGCAGCCATGGCTGGCCACGTATCTTATAAATGCAATGTGTGGAACACTCCCCAAGTTACAGTTGTATGTATAATATAATTTGAGGACCACTGGCAAAATTACATATTTTGCTGATTTTTCACATGAAGTAAAGACAACCTCAGAAAAAAATAACACCCTAATTGTAGCATGTCCAAGTGTGTTGACTGTGTCACATTTGCTCCCAGAATTTTCTGATATGCAGTGAAATCCATTCTTTCATCTACCTGTGCAATGTTTCAACCAGTTTGAGATACAATGGAAAATGCTGGTCAGTGACTAGGACATGACTAGAGATTTTTTAACTGAGGGGGTTATGCCAGAGGGGACAGGGGTAAAAATATTTTGCGTGACTGTTTTGAAATTTGTATACAACTTTTCTTTTATTTGTGGTCATGATTTCTTAATTTGTTCCCATGATTAACAATTCATTTTCTCATTTTCTTTTAAGCATGCCAATGTCTTCTTTAATTTGGGGGTACCTTTTTTATTATTCTTGCACAAACAAAATAAATGTAGTGGATAAAGGCAGTTTAATTTGTCCTGTGCACAAATAGGCTTAACAGGCGACCCTGGAACTGTTAGCTCCTCTTGCACGGTGGAACATCAGAAGTCTCATGATGAAATGAAGGAAGACAAACCATAACCTCAAACTTCAATGAACTGCATTTTCTAATGATTAGATTTTAGCATATTTTATTATATTTAGAATTTATTTGACTAGTTGGCACGGTCTCTTCACTACAGTTTGTATTAGATGCTGTCCATCCTACAAAGATACTGAAGTCTCCTCTCTGTTAGATACACTGAAAATCCTGTGTTATTCAAATACACAGACTATAGATTGGCATTTAATCAGTCCTGATTCTTCAGCCCTGTCAGTTTCCTGTCTTGCCTGAGTTTAGTAAAACGTTATATTCACAAGTACTCAAGAACTCAATAAGTCAGTTCAAATTTTTATTTGAACTGGCATAACATTTTTATTTGACTGGCCTTCAAAGGAAATTTTGTAAATCAGTCTACAGGTTGAGGAATTGAGGGATATAACAATGTATGTTGATACAAGGTGTGACACAGCAACACAGCTAAGCTGGATTGCAGCAGCAGCCAGGTCTTAGCACCCTGCCATTGCTACATATTTTAAATTTGGAGATGCAACGGCACGGTTAGATTATAAATGAATAAGAGAAATTACTGAGGGTTTTAAAAAAATGCACATTTATTAAGGAGCTAAAGGACATCTTTGCGGACTAAAGACCTAACAACAACCCTGGGCAGTGGTACCCAAATATTAATCCAATTGATGTTTATCTGGCCTATTAATGCTTTTGTGAATCTAAAAACTTCCTACACCTTTAAAGGCCTTTAAGTCTGAATGGGCTAACATAACCACTGCCATTTTCTTTTTCTGGTCAACACAGTCGAGTATGTGTGAAGGCCTAGCACAAAATGCGACAGTGGTGTAATCTAAGAAATAATACCTAGGAAACTCAGTGTCACAAGAGTCAATGGGCAAACTCTGGAGTGGACATATTACTTACAGTCGACAAATATTCTTTTAAGTACATCCATGAGGCCTGTGCCTCTTCCAGTCTGCCGTTGGTATGCCAATGCTGCTGCAGCAAATCAAAATATACTAGTAATATAGATTATATAGATTATGGGCCTAGATTTCACAACAAAAGGTTGTACTGTTTCTGTTTCTTCACCATCACAATGTCAAATTCATCACATTAAGCAATATGACAGACCTTTGGATACCTAATATACGTACATGAATTTAATCGTGCTTGACCTCCATCATGTGGTGCATAAGGAGAAAGCTGACACCACCTCATCTATCATGAGCTTACAGTGTCTGACACCACCACATCCACCATCTGGTACTGTTAATACTGTACTGTATTAATCATGTGCAGGCCTACAACAACCATAAAGGGTAAACAAATAAATCAATAAATAATAAAAGGTTCTAACAGTCATGTCCCGTTTTGTGCTGCTTCATGGAGGAATCCATGAACTATGATCGCTTCTGCAGCGTTGCAAGAGAAGAACTAGAGATAAAACACAAGCAGTAACATCTATTACACACTCATCTTTACTCAGTGCAGTACCAGCATACCAACCTGACTTCTGAACTTCTCACCCCTACACTCTTCTTTGTTCTAGCTACCCTGTTACATAATACAGCAACCCCTTGCATAAGTTGCTGTGAGCAGTTTCATCTCAGTTTTTTCCTCTGTCTAGGAAATGTGTCCTATGATGTACAAAATAAACAGTCCCACTACATTTGGTTCCCTATTGGTTAGGGATAACATTTGGGCTGAGGTTAAGGTTAACATAAGATTGGGTGTTCCATTTAGGGTTAGTGATGTTAACAGTTATTAAGTTGAATATGAAGAGGAATTCCATGATTCAAGCTTTGCAAGGTCATACAAAGTGGTTTCAAAGTGGTTAACTGTACACTCTCAGAAGAAAAGGCACGAAACTGTCACTGGGGCAGTACCCCTATTGCCACTGGGGTACCTCAGTACCAAGAGAAATTTACAACACAACACAAACACAAACACATGGCCATTGCATTTACAATACACAACGACCAGTAAACCTACATACCTACATGCGTCTTCTGAGTTTTTACAAGTAATGTTGTAAAATCAGAAAAAATAAGTTTTCTTTGGGTACTGTGTTGCCTTACAGTGCCCTGCAAGTACCTCTCAGCCATGAGTGAATTTTAAAAAAAAATATATGTTTTAGGTCAAAAACTTAGTAAACTATAGTTGTACTAAACAATGCCTCTTACTTCTTTCTGTTAGGTAGCTTTAAGAGGCATTAAACCCCTCAGATGTCTGGTTCCTATCACCACTGTGAATTCTGTCTCAGTAAGTTTCTCTAGAACAGAACATTTCACATCAAACCACTCTGAGTCTGATGCACTGAGCTCTTTGTGCCAGTTTTGAGGCACAAATCGAATTCGTTATGTCTACATGTTATGTATGAAACTGGTGCACGGGTCTAAACATTGGCCGTGTGCACGGAAAAAAAAGCTAATTGTGCTTCTCTTCATCATGCATTGGAGAGAGGGCTGCAGAAAATATGGGAGGATAACAAAAAGTGGCTGGAGATGTGTGGCTATATAAGTTTGAGCAACTCACAACAGCTGGTTTTGCCTCAGTTTTCCTCTGCCTTTTAAAACTAGGTGTAAATTTGTTTTAGGGTCTAAAAAGATATACTGTTGAGAGACTTCCGTTAACAATGAAAGCTAGAAGGAGGAACAAGCCTTAAACACTTGCTGAAAGGATATTTACCATCACAAGAACACTATTTTAACTTTCGAGACCAGAAATGCATATGTGAGAACACATGGTGCAAAATATGCTGTGATTCAGACAAAATTAACACACAGCCCATGTTATTGGTGCATAAACTGTACTTTCTTAGCCAGAGTGAAACAACACATCTGTTGAATGTTTTGGTGGGTAAGAACTTTATTGATTAACACTGCTATCTCTTCATCTCTTCATCATTTTCTGTTTCGTCTCAAGCTTGTCAATAGCTTCATTATTGCACTGTGCCTTTTAAACCCTGCGTTTCTCAAGCTAAGGGCTATGAACAGTTTGTGTGATAGGCCGCATTGAATATTCATTTTAGACGCACTGTAGGCGTGCATTGTGCCACATTTTACATTTTTATGACTTACTTATGCATAATTTCTGAAATAGGTGAAATTCCCCTTTACGTTAAATCAGGTTAAGATCCTACTCAACACCAGACACTACACTACAATGGACTACACAAATAAAGTGTCACCAAAATATAACAAATTAAATTTGTTTAAATAACTGCTTTCACATTAGAACTCAGATTTAGTTTTGTGGGCTTAATATATTTGTTTACCTCAAAGAACACAGAAGCCATTACATGATCACAACAGTGCTTTAAGAATGGGGTACATAAATCCATTAAACCAGAAGACCAGAAGTTAGGACACTACTCCCAGAGCTGAGCCTGTCACCATATTGGTCCAGCAGCTGCAGAGCGACACCGTTGGTCCAGCCGAACCCCAACTAAAAAAGAAAGCACAAACATAGATTAGTTAAAAGGGACAAAATTTTCCACAGCATTTAAAAAAGAAGAGTGTGAAGTAGTATGTGAACATGTACACAACATATTGTTTACTCCCCAGTCTATACAGTCCATCTATGGAAATTAAGCTGCAAAACAGCCTATTTTGAATTAATGTTTGTAATGTCACGCAAAACACCACCTTTATATACGTCCACGTATTCAGCTACAGTTATAAGGAGTGCTTTAATCTAGACTGCTTTTTGAAAATGAGGCACAACACAGGGCAGCCAATTAAATCGTGCTCATTTACACATAACGGTCTTAAAGGGGAATTCAGAATTTCTGTATCATTACATGACTAAGATGTAAACAAAATCGGTCAGAGTGGTTTGACATGCAATATTCTGTTGTAGAGAAACATACAGAGAATTATTCACAGTGGTGGTGATAGGAACCAAACATCTTAAGAGTTTAATGCCTCTAAAAGCTCCCTCACAGAAGTTATTACATGAAATGTTTATGAATACTCTGCCTGATGTCTGAGATATTGCTTTATGATAGTTTTGAAAGAATATTTTGGCTTAAAGCATTTTTTTAAATCTTTCACATATGTATACATCATGACCTCTGCTTCCTATCAGCACCACTGCAAAGAACTCTAAGTCAGTAAATTTCTGTAAGGTGAACCATTTCACATCAAACCACTCAGAATGACTTTTACATTTACATTGCAAGGACTGAATTGTGCAGAAATATAAAAGACACATTAACAAAACCAGGCTTTAATTGTAAGGGATAGTGAGAATATGGAAAATGGTCATGCAAAAATGAATTACGATTGTTTTATGTACATAAAAACAAACAGGCATCATAAGTAGACCTCAGGGGAAAAAATTCAAAACAAGACTGATGTAGGATATGGGCCCTTTAAAACTACCAGGGAGAAAAACAAAGATGGGAGTAATAACTGTAACTAACTATGCCTACATGTGGGCTTATATTTGTCATCAACATATGCTTTGGCATATGGCGTACACATTGGAAACTTCAGTTCATTTCATGTCCCTGTGACCTTGAGATAAAATGATCGGGATTAAAATGAGTTTTCTGCTCATCCTCTGAGTCATACCAGTTTTCCCCGTAAGCGAGCAATCTCTGGAGCCGCTTCACTGGGCTGCAAAACAGACTTAATTCAACTCTAATTCCTCATGGGATAAGAATGATGTCTCCCTAGAGCTGTGATTGGGATGGAAGCAGAAATATGAATATCTAAATATGATTATAGCATCAGGACCTGAACTTCATATTCGCCACCTCCTCCAGGTTTGCCATCCCCATTGACATCATACTGCAACAGAAAGAGAGCGAGAGAGAGAGAGAGAGAGAATGAACAAGCTGTAGCAATTACTGCAGCACTGCCCCAAACACAACACATATATACTAGCCTGAGCGAAATAGTGCTCCATCACTACTATGAAGAAGGAACCACAAAAGACTTTGCAAAACAGTGCAATCCATATATTTAAAATATTTAATATAAAAATCCATTACAAGAATATCAAACTGAGATGAAAACCCACCTTCTCAAACATGGCTTCGTATTTGTCATAAGCTATCCCAGTTTGTTCGAATCCACCGCTGGGCTAAATCAAAGGCCAGCTCTTTGGCATCTGCCGAGTCAAGCTGTGACAGGCCTGAGAGAGAGGAACAATGACAGATGGGGAAATGAGCAGGAGAAAGACTTAAGTTAGAGAGTTACACTACACGTCTTAAAAAGCTACTCATTAAACATAATATTCTCTCTCAAGAACAGGTAGGCTTTGTTGGGTGCAATAATTGATTGTTTCAATGTTGTGCTTAGTTTCCCTGTTTTTATACTTTTTCTTCTTTTTCGTATTGTTAGATGTTCTGTGCTACTGTCCTCATGTGATCCGATGTATTACTTGTTAGATCCGATATACTGCACCATTTTATATGCTAGATGCAGTGGCAGAACTTCTAATAGATTATTCAAAAACTATTCAAAGATACAGAAAAGGAACAACCACGCAAGACCTGGTAGACCACCGAAACTGTCACATTCAGATAACCAGAACTTTGAGGGAGAGGAGAAAATCACTCTTGCTTCAGATCTGAAAAAATCCACAGGTATTTCTGTCCATCCTTCCACTGTGAGAAGAAAACTAAACACAATGGGTCTAATGTCATGAAGCTGTTACTGATAAAATGTATTTAAAAAAAAAAGGAAGAAATGTTGCAGTAGAACAACAAAACTGGACACCTGTAAAGTAAGTAAAGAGTGTAAAGTAAGGTTTTACAAATTTGTAACTGAGATTTGTAATTGAGGCAAAGAGTGGACACAATGCATACTGACATTTGATATTATATTTAGTTGCTAGGGCTTTCTGTCAAATATTTGTTTTTCTTGATGTTGAAAAATGAATAACTTATTGGTGTTGATGGAAAATTAAGTAAATGAAAGGGTGGTATCTGACTTTTGCACAGTATTATATATTACTGAGACATTGATCTTTTCAGGAAAAAAAAGCTTTTTAGGTGAGATTCCTGAGGAGATACAATAAAATAATTCACTTGCATAAAGAAAGGGAAACTCATAGATGTACAGTTCTGTCAGTACCAATAAAGATTTTACCATGGGTGGATCCTGGATGTTCACTATTTTCCGATTCAATTCAAATGAAAAAAGCCTCTCTCATCATATTCTTGTATAGATATATAAGGACAGTACAGCTAAGTTGAGCTAAACAAAATATTTACAAAAGCGAACTGCATACTGAAGGGAGCCTGAGTGGTGTACAGGCCCAGTGTTTGCCAGCTCATACCTTCTATAAGTATGTGCTGGAGTGGAGGCCAGGCATTAGGCATGTCCCACTGCTGACCAGTCTCACTCAAAGAAGTGGGAATGCCATTAGGGTAGTCCAGACCTCCACTAGCCTAAAAAAAGAGGAAAAGAGAGAAACATTATGAGTGAAGAAAATGAAGCGAAGGCATCATAATAGTGTGTACAGTGTGCCATCTGCTGGTCATTGCTGTACACTGCACCACACTTAAAATGTTTGTGCTAAATACAAGAAATTTAAGATTTAGTTGGGATGTTTGTAATGTGTGTATATATGTTGGCACTCTCAACTGCCATTAATATAGGCTGTCTGGACTTGCCTACAGAGCATATGCAGAGGCTGAGGCATGCTGTGCTGCTTCCACAGTATGACACTGCTAAGCAAAGTTAAGGTAGTATGTTAAAGCTTCTGCAGTTTGTATGATGCAACTTACACATTCACAACTGAATATGAACACCAGGAGGGATTCCATGTATTACACTAACATGCACTGCTCAAAAACAAAGACGGCTCTACACTGTTAGAAATAAAGGTTCGGTGCAGGTATGTTTTTTGTTTTTGTATTTTTGCCTTTTCATAATCTTATATTTTAAAACAGTACAATAAAATAAAAAGCCTGGTGTTGACACGGGGTGTGTGGAGTCAATACAACTTAGAAAATATAATTTCAGTGGATTATGGTACAATTATGTTCCCAGACTAAAGGTAGTGAGATGAACCCTTGAGGGTACCACCCCAGTGACAAGAGGGGTACTGCCCCAGTGCCAGTTTAGTAGCTTTTTTTCTGAGAGTGTTTGTGTTTCTTCTCAGTGCAATTAAGCACCAAGACAAAGTAAGCTAGCAGTGGATGAGCAACAAAAATAGACTGTGTTCTCACTTAAATGTGTTTCACACAACAATATTCACTTTTTAAGCTATCACATAATTACCAAAACATCCCCATTGCTGCAAAGTGTATACAGTAAATGACAGAAATATAGTAGCTCTCAGAAGCAGTATCAAAGGTATCCTAATGAGAATCATTCACAAGCAAATCCCTGTTTTGAACTTCACAACACAAAGCTCTAAAGTGAATTTACCTACAGCAGCAGCAGCACAGGGGAACTGAAATTTGTCTTGATGAAGTGCAAATAACTGCAAATACACACAGTGCTTTCTGCTTTGAATGTGTAAAATACTTGAACATTTTTATTAATAGTAATTTGTAAATGGTTTCTTTTCCCTAAAATGCTGCTACTAAATTGTTTCTGTTCCTCCAAATGCAGCACAGGAGTAATCTCCCAGCATGCTTCAGGCTCTGCAGCTGCCTTGTAGTGAAGTTCAATCAGACTATAATAATGGCAGTCAGAAGAGAGCCTAGCTATTTTAGTGATTTCAACAGGTCACTAAATATTCACTGCCCAACAACTACTGCTCAGTGCTCTGGAATTGCTCACAGGCAGAAGGTAATTCTGTTGCTCTCACTTTTAGATACTGCAGGGCTAGCTCTCCCATGCCAGGCTGAGAATGGCACCGTGCCCAGAGAGGACTCAGGTTAGTTGGGTAGAAGGCTGGGTGCCTGGCCCCACTCAGCAAATTGTAATCAAACCAAGTTCCCTTCTCTGCATCCCATAATACACTCTCTATGGCCTTCAGCCTGGCAGAGGCTGCACGGTCATACACCAATGCCCTCTCCTCATCACCTGCGGGAAACAAAGTGGATGAAGGTACTTACAAAAGCCACATGAATATATGAATACAAGCAAATGCCCACAAACAGGACCCTCACAGAACAGGACTCTCAATGGTAAATATGTCATATATGCAATTTAGTAATTAGACAAGCTACGAAAAACAAATTGCTCACTATAACATTTCTCTTATTTCCTAAGACTAGCAGTGGCCTTTCATTTCAGAATCATTTAGGCTTTGCTTAAAGACTTGTTTATTTCTGTAGACACCCTAGGAGCAATGAAGAGATGGAGCAGAGACTATAATCTAAGTCACACCTGAGATAATTTCATCAACATTTTAGAATCATGAGGGATACGAGAGCTCATAGTTCAGTTCTTTTTTAATAACCAGCTAAAACCAGCAGTATCAGCCATCTTGCAACCTAAAAAACCTTCCAGTCAGTGTTTAGGACTCTTGGTTTTTAAGACTAGGCTAAAAACCTACTTGTTTAGTCAAGATCTGGGGCTTCATGGATGTAGAGTATTACGATAAACTGAGGTTGTCCATTTATTCATGCTCACCCAGAATCCTTGAGAAGGTGGCCAGGAGGTGCTCACTGCGGCACATGAGAGCATTGAGCTCGACGGGCAGGATAGAGCTGGTGCTGGTGTCCCTGAATGAGCCAGTGTTTTGACCTAAGCTGTCTATGTACCAACGTGAGGAGAAGTCCCAACCAGACTCAGCTGCTGCTTTTAGCTCTGTCCACAGCTTCTCCCGAGCCTCTGAGAGAGGAAAAATAGCCACACACAAACTATCCACACCAAGTTGCAAGTTTATTAGGTAAACCTACCTTATATATACATTCACTGGCCATTTTATCCAGGACTCCTACCTAATAAGTGCACTTTATAGGTTTACTATTACTCAATGTAGCCCATCTGTTGCTGCACAGTTTGTGAGTCACCCTAGGCCCATCCTATTCCGTCCCTCTATTCTGCATCAATGGAAAGCAACAGTACCACTTCTAAACCTAGTATTTGGGAGGGCCACTCTCAGTACAGCAGCGATACCGACAGTGCTGATGGGCTAGAGGGTGACTAAGACAAACTGTGCATTCAAAAAATGAGCTACATATAGGGATGTAGTGATACACAAAATTCAAAATTTGATGTGATACGATACGGTGTCGATATTTTGCATGTTAAAAAATGTTTAAAAAGAGTGTTGTAGTTTTATACTACACTGATTATTTGTCAAAGATAAATAAAAGTTCTTTGATATAACTTTTTTAGCACCAGTCATTACACCCTCTAACAATATAAAACAAAATCACAACCCCTAAAATTTAGAATTTATTAATTAAAAGCCCTTTTATGTAACATAAGCACCAACCAGATGCCTAGTCTTGATCACTGACAGTGGTGTAAACTGAAGTTGATAAATCAAAGACCCTCGGAGAAGACCAAATGGCGTACAGTGCCATGAAGAAGTATTTGCCCCCTCCTGATTTCCTTTAGTTTTGCATATTTGTCAGACTAAATTGTTTCAGATCCTCATACTAAATATAATCCTTATACAAAACATTATGACTGGTTGCATCACCTTTAGCAGCAACAGCTGCAAATGCTTCCTCTGACTGGAGATCAGTCTTTCATATAACTGAGGAAGAATTTAGGCCCACTCTTCCTTGCGGAATTGGTTTATGTTACAGAAAAAGCAAACTTAATCTAAAGTGCTTCTCAATTATGGCACTGAAATTTTGTCAGTATCCACAGCCAGCCAAACCTGAAAGGGCTGGGGTCTGTCTTTAAATACCAAGTTATTTTGGACTGGACCAATTACAGGTAACTGGTTATTTCAATTACTTAACAATGGTCATAAACTACACATTTTGTTTACCTTATAAAATGACCCTTAAATTGTTTAATGAATTTAGAATTATAAACATTAAAACATAAAATAAAAAATACATAAAATTAAAAATAATCATAAAAGACAAAGACAACCAGGAACTCCCCGACTCAGTCATAAATTTCATGGTTCCAAGGATAGTGTGAAATGGAAACCCCAGTCCTCAGGTTCTTTGACTCATAGCATTGTGCTGCCAGTGTGCTAGATAAAAATATGTAAGTAAAATCCTACAAACAAAACACCCTTTTAAAAAAGTTATTACAGTTAAAATGCATGTAAAATAACAATCATAGCCTTTTGAAATGATGTACACAATCAGTTGGCCACCCAGAACAATGTAAGATAATTAAAACAGTTTGTATTTGTTTTACAGAGTTCATTGTGTGGGTGCATTTGTTCTGCAGCAGTCAAGTGGAGGAAATTTGCAGTCTTAGAGGAAATTTGGTAGGCTTTGGTAGGTACTTCCAGAAAGAATTCACCACTGTTCAGGTCCTTTTGTAGATAATGGGTCTCACTTTGGTTTGCTAGAGTCCCAGAGCCTCAGAAATGGCTTTGTAACCTTTTCCACACATACATATTTTAACAACTTTCTTTTTTATCTCTTGCAAAATTTTTAAAAACGTAACTAAGCCTGGGTGTGTCTAGTTGAATTGATCCCAACTGTCAATAAAATTGGGTTAATTGTTTAAGCAATTATGGGGGCAATTCTTTTTTTTTATTTATTTATTTTTTTTTACACAAGCCAGTTTGTGATGGTTTTTTTCCTTTATGAATGAAATTATCATTTAAATATTATATTTTTTTATATAGTTTTTATATAGTTTACTCAGGGTTTACTATCTTTATCATATGGTACTGAAACAGTTAAGTGTGACAAATTTGCAAAAATAGAATAATACAGGAGGGGGACAAATACCTTTTCATGGCACTGTATTGGCAATGCAGATTTAAATTTCAACATATTGCTTTAAATTAGATTTTCTGATACATATTGAAAATTTAATACCTTTAGTCTCTAGGCCAATAAGTGTACACAGTGTGCATAAAACCTCAGCAATGCTGCTACACCTGATACACCCATATCACATACTACCATGCTACTACAGTGTCACTGGTGTGAAATGGTTCACCATCAAATAATATCTGTTTAGTGGTGGTCCCATGGTGGGCCCCTTTCCACTGATGGACAAGGTGAGAGTGGCACAGCAACAGACAACTCTGCATATACAATTACCTACAAAGTGCACTTATACAGTAAATGTGCTTGACAAACTAGTACAAGATGAAGTACGTGTTTAAAATTGGAATGCGAAAAGGTCAGAGTAGTTACCTGCAGGTAAGCCCTCTGCTAGCTCTGCATCATGTGTATAAGACTCTGGCCTGCAGAAAAGGAAGACTTGAACTCCTGCTTATTATTTAGGTATTAAAGGAATACAGCTGTATGCAAAAGGTGTGTTTTTGTTAAATTAAAATGTCTGTAGAGGAAATGTACTTTTTCACCTATAAACTCAACAAAGCATGTAATTTGACCAGGGGTGCCCAAACTTTTTCCTTTTGAACATGACTGTAGTTTGGCAATAAAATTAATTTTCCATTCACCCCAGATGCAGTCTATCAGCCAAAAGTAACATGTTTGGAGTTGCTTCTTTAGTTTAGAACTTAAGTGTGACGCTAACATTGCTAACGAATATTAGACATCAATAGTCACCCAAATAGCCCAAATTGTTTCCATAAAAAATGAAAAAAGGTAAGTGGAAAACTGTGTAAATTAGATTTTAAAAGGTATCATTAGTAACTATCATGAAACTGACATGTAAGTAATATTCAAGTTATGCAGTTATAAAAATGAGTAACATCCTAACATCTAAACAACACAGATGTAGGAGCTCTTACCTGGGCTGGCCCACCTGTACATCATACCGATTCAAGACATGCTTTGCTCCATCCATTTCCACAGCAACAGAACGATTCTCCATCCAAAAACTGTACTCCTTCTCTAACGTTGGTAAGGCCTGCCTGCAAACACCACCAACAACACTGATTACAATGCTATTCTATAAGTCATTGAGAAAGGACATTAGAGGGATTTCATTGCAAAAAGACAGCTACCTGATAAATTCTATGTCTTTGGTGGCCTCATAGAAACTCTCCACCATTAGGCAGAGGAAGGGTGGCTGGCTGCGTCGCTCATAGTAAACTCTACCCCCATTGGGGACAAAACCATATCTGCATGAAAAGAAAATAAACTTGCTTATTCAAGGGAATTATTGAGTAACATCATACATTAACTACCGTGTTTAGACTGCAGGCAAAACCAATGTTTGGCTCATTTCATATTTGTAGAGATACATGTTTTGGGGATAATATAGAGAATCCAAAGTAGGTCAAAGGCACCAAGATCACCTGTCCACCATGTATAAGAAGTTCTGGATCATTCCTCGGGCTGTATCTGTCATCTCAGACAGGAGGAGACCATTTAACACCCAGTATGAGTCCCTGTCAGACAAACAATGGGAAAACTAAATTTGTCATCATCTTTGGATCGTCCACTTCATTAGACACACCTACCATTCGCTCAAAAGTCACAGCCCACCGATTATTTATTTAATACAACAGATTTTTCAGCATTTAGTGTGTCCATGCTTGCCTGCATGGATATTTTTCCACAGCTCCAGTTAACCACCTTCAGTCTTAGAACTTGGTTGCATTTTTGGCTTTTCATGATTCTAGTAATCCCAAACAGACCGAGTGATGTTAAGGTTTGGGCTGTAGGGGGGTCAGTCCATTGTTCGGAGAACATCAGCAGCTTTTGTGATTGATTAGCAAATTTTCTTCTATTTTCTTTTCTCAGCAGCAGAATCTTGACATTTCTTTACAGTGGAACCAGGGGTTGCTATGTCTACAATGCAAACACAGCCATTTTATCTACTATCTAAAACTACCAGTGAACCTAAACATGTCCGAGTTTTATATGTAATGTTGATGATGGTAAAATAGTGATAAACCTAAAAAACTGTTTTTTGAGGACTGTTTTGCCTTACAACGCCCTACACGTACCCCTCAGTCATGAACTGCTTTTAAAAAAATACCTTTTAGGCCAAAATCATATTTGAGAACAGTTGTCTTAATGTCTCAGACATTAGGCAACATACTCAGACATTTCATACAATAACCTTCAGTAAGATACCTTTTAGAGGTATTAAACTCTTCAGATGTCTGGGTCCTGTTGTCATCACTGTAAACAACTCTGACTATGTAAGTTTCTCTTGAATGAAGTACTACAGATCAAACCACTCTGAATGACTGTTTACATATTAACCATTGAATTATGTAGAGGTTTTGAAAAATTTGTGACGGTCCTCTTTAATTATTGTTTAAATGTTGGTGACAGTTTTGGTGTTGTACCAGGTCTTGCATGGGTTTGGAGTCCCATTTCCTCTGTGCATGACAGTAGATGGGCTACTGTAAAAATATACCTGTGGGCCTATATGGTAGGTGGACTTAATAAAGTGGCCAGTGATTAGACATATGTTATGACCCTATGGGTCATAGTTTTTGTAGTGTGTTTTTTGTATTAATTGCAGAGCTGAGGGAAGATGCACTGAGCCACCACCAGGGGGAGCCGCCAATAAAAGAGAGACGCCAGGCGGAAGTGGGGGGTGCTTTTGCTTCTGGCGTGGCTTCTGTTGCATTCCCGGTTCCCTGCAGTCACTTGAGCGACACTACTGTAGAGCTGTGTTGGTGTGAGAGCTTCGCTACTGGTGTATGGTTTATTGGTGTTTTGCTGCTTGTCATTGAGATTTTTGTAAAAGCTAGCTCATGCCGTTACTCTTTCATTGAAGTATACTGTAAACACTCAGCTGCCGTGGCTGCCCAGACAATAGCTCTTGTACATAAACTCTCATTGGGGAAGAGGTTGTCTTTTTCTCTTGGTTTGCTTTAGTTAGGAAGTTAGGTTAGAAATTGTATTTGATTTTCTTTTGTTTGTTAGGTAAGTTATATTTTTCGAAACTTAAGTTAGCTGTGTTTTTGTTTGTTATTTTACCCTTCCCTCCCCTACCATTTCATAAATGTCTAAAGCCTTGAACCCTTGAAAATAAAGCCAAATTGTTATTGTCGCAAACATTGGTTGTCTGTGTGACTTGGGGAACCGGGAGGGCACGGAGGTCTCTTTATTTTTATGTTGCGGCCCAACCTAGACCAGGTCGTAACACATATAAGGGAGGAGTTTGTAATAGGTTAGTACAGTGAGTGTATGTGCATGTATGTGTTCCCCTCACCAGTAGTAAAACTCAGTGAAGCGTCCACCGGGCACAATGACTGGATTTGGGACATATATCATAGAGTGCAGCTGAGGGTTGTCTTTAACATCCGTACTGATCTGACAATACAAAGAGAAGAAATTGAAATTGGTACATTTTGAGAATGCCTACTCAAGCAATCAAAAAGAAAACTCAACATAACTGACTTTTCGGCCAAGTGACTTCCACAAACCATGCAACTCCTCGGCCCAGCTGCAAAGATTTGAGTCAGAAACCTTGGACAGGAATTTAGGCCTGCAAGACAGTAAAATCTGTAGCAGTCTTCATCTCTGTCATTTCAAATTTCATAAAAATTGATTGTGCTTCAAACAGTGGACATTCTAAAACTCTTAAAGGGGCATTCCAGTCTAAGGCTGGCTTTAAGTTGCTTGAAACCTATGCGGCACCAAACTGCACCTGAGTTGCATAATGTAAAGCGTCCTGCAACTCTCTTGAAACTCTGCATCAATTGCATGTCTCAACTTTGTGAAATAAGTTTCATGAAACAGCCAATCAAAATGCAAATGACATCACATGATCACATTGGATGACACTAAAATGAAAAGGTGCTTTATAAGGCAGAATATATAAAAAGGATTAACATACACGCAACAGCTAAAAACTCAAATATATAGTAAAGAACTACAGACAGAGAGATAAATGTCAGTTATATACATATAGAAAAACATTAATGACGGCTAAAAAAAAATCTAAGATAAAAATGCTGCAACTATGTAAACCACAACTTGCAGATGAGTTTATAGTAAGGAACATTATGGTATATCAAAAAATATGAGCTGATAACTTGTCTATCTAGTAGAGTAACTAAATGTGTTGTTTGCAACTTTGTTTTTGAATTGTTTTGTGTAACTATCAAGTTGCTCAGAAATTATGTTGCAGGCAACTCACAACATGCAACTAGTTGCAAGAATGTTTCACTGTGTAAAGCCAGCCTAAAACTAGCATTCAACATGTTATTTGTTACGTTTTATGTTCTGTAGCACACCGCTGCATCTCTCAGCCTCATCAGTTTGACGGAATTAATCATTTGTATCACTTTTATGTTAATGTTTATGTCTGTCATTCATCAGTGTTCCCTCACTGCAATACCCAGCATGCAGTACATAAATACATCAATGGGAAACCCCACAGCGCTCAACAAATCCTCACTGCTAACAAAAACTCCACTAATAGCTAGCATCACTGATATAGCACTATCCTCAACTGGTTGTCAAACTTTTTCTTTGTTATAGGAATTCAGCTGAAGAATTAGCCAGCCAGCAAAAGCAAGTTCAAACAGCCCACCCTCACGTATCTACACCAATGCACTAGTAATCTTTTGAAATTTACTTCTAGCTTCAAGATACATCATCAGAAGGGAGTGTTCCTTGTCTTCAAACATGGAAATCTCACTTTGAAGACGACTATGGCACAGCCCAAAAGAAGTGTATTGGCATGTGTACAACAAATGTTTAATTTTTTTTATTCTAGCCAGAGTGTCCTTTTAACATGAAAAAGCTCATTGTAACAATGAGTTAAGAACACAACACTTCTCTCACATCCTTCTGGACATTAGCCTGTATACTGCCAAAAGAATAACATTGTAACCCAAAGAAAAACTATTTCTTCATTGTAGCCATTTGTCCCTCTGTTCAAACCCATTATACAGATACAACTTAATATGACTTAATGCACTGAAACACCAAATTTCCCTTAAGATTTAATGCTCACATATACTAGTAGTAAGGGTAAGGAATGAGGGGAAAAAATGGTATTCTTAGGTAAGTGTTTTAAGGCCTGTGAGTGAAATTTCCTCTTTTTTGTTTAAGAAACTGCTGTACTGCTGTAGCACGTAAACTCTGATAAAGTTATAAAATGTAATGTTTATTGTCAATTGCATACAGTCCATATATGTAAATTAAGCTGCAAAAACAGCCTGGTTTAAACTGAGTATTTTCACATAAATCGAGAAAACCAATACATGTTTCAGCCCAGACAGCTTTTTCCTTTTAAATACAGAACTGACAATCTGAACAAAAGTCATTTACATATATGAGTCTTAAAGGTACAGTAAAAAGCAAAAAAAAAGCAAAAAAACTGCATAATTCTAAGGGATAAAGAGAGTTTGGAAACTGTAGAAGTAAATTTTGACAGTTTTTGTTACAGATATAAACACAACTGTCATAAGAGGACCTCAAAAAAAAAGTCTAAGCAGCGTCTTACTTTTCACGCCAGTCAGGTGGAGTCCATGGCTCAAATTCTTTCCCATCACCCACAAAGTACGTGTTCACAAACACCCTCAGATCAGAAGCAGGAACGGTCCCATTTGGAAACCTCCATGTTAGATTGGAGAAGGCATCTAAAACAACCTCTACAAGCAAATTGGAGTGAAGACCAACAGTGAGATCAGCAGAATGAGAATGCAATGTTAACTGAGAGGTCAAAAAGAAAAGACCAAAGCAAACACAGTAGGGGAGGGAGGGCCACAACCTAGCACATTCTGAGTTTTGTAAGCTCTGTTTAGCACACCTACTGTTTATGAACAATTCAGCCAAAAGAGTGAGTGCCTATTTTACAACCTATAAGTGGGGATAACTGCAACAGATTGAGGGGCTAGTTGTAACTGTCGCTATAAAAGTCAGGTAAATATATGCAAACACAATAAATTTATTACTAAGCTGTCTGAAAAAGGCAAGGTTTGCAACCTGAATGTGTAGAAATATATGCAATAAAATGAATATGATTAGCAAAAAAAAGACTCAGTCATACATTTATTTTTCTCTACAAAGTAATAGAGCAAATATCAGCATGGCAATATTGAAATATACTATTTATAGAACATGTTTGATAAATCTGTGCATAAAAACTTAAAAATAAATTGGTTTCAATATATATAGGGGAAAATACACATCTCCTTGTTTACTTAATTAACACATCTTTTACAAGAAACAAACTAAAATATGGCAATACATATGGCTGAGTTTAACATATTTGAAAAATTAAAAAACATTAATACAAAATGTATTATTTGTATGAAACTTTTGCACAGGGCACATTCTTCCATTATGGTAAATTAATTCAAATAAACTGCAATTGTGCATTAAAATGTGCAGAAGTGTGTGTTCATGTAGAAAATTAACAAAACATTCAACAAAACAAAGTCATTTGACAAGGGCGCCCAAACTTTTTGCATACAACTGTTATTATCATGCTATTATCAACAGGGTAAATCTTGAAAAATACATCTGATAGCTGTCAAATTTCATATGATATTTCTATGGGAACACATGAAGATGACCAAAACCATGTTTTACTTGATTTAACTACATGTTTAACTACAAAAAAAAGTCTATGTTACATTATACACCACGTTAGGTTGTGCCCCGCTCTCAGCTAGCTCTTCTCACCAGGGGCTGCAGTCAGCTTCATATCCACAAAGACCTTGTTGTCATCAAACAGTTTCGCTGTCTGCACCTGTCTTAAGAGCTCTCCTGTGCAGTAGATCTCACTAGTAGACACAAACACAGAGATATCAAACAGGTGGAGAGGAGACAGAAGCAAGCCAGCTGGTCTGTACACCTACACCACGTTTAAGGTTGTGATAAAATCAATACTTTTCACTAAGCAGCTCTGCTTTGGTAAGGGCTCAGAGTTCATTCTTGCTGAAACTGATCAGCAGTATTATCGTTCCAGAGGTCAGTATTAAAGAGAGGACCATCTGTGGCTAATTGTGTGATTAGCTATGAACATCAGGTGCTTCTATGAAGCCTGTGTCACACTGTAATACTGCCTATGCAACAACAGCATTGGTTTTCTTTGGCAGCTTGACTGTAGAACCAAAACAGTCGAATGGATTCTATCCGGTCAAGAAGCATTTTTCCTGCTCCGAAACACCTCATTCTATTAATAAACCTCTAAGTCCAACTGGGTGTGTAAGAACAGGGAAAACTCTAAATTACGTGAGGCAGTGGTACTTCAGGACCAGGATTGAGAACCACTGCTCTAAACCAAACATGCTCAGCCAGGCTTCATGAAGGTGGATAGCAATTAGCCAAGGCAGCACAAGCTTTAGCCTTGCAGGAGGGGACAGCTTTTAAGCAGTTTTCTCAAAGTTTTCTCAAAATAGCCAGTGTAAGGGGGGAAAAGGCTAAATATATATATATATATATACATATATACATATATACATATACATATATACATATACATAATATATATATATATATATATATATATACACACACATATATACACACACACACAATACAATAAATGTAAACCCAAATACAAATTTTGATGCATCAGACCAATTTCAGTGTTCTAATGCAAATCTTTTTTTCTTTGTTTCCTTTTCTAAGTAACAGCTTCTTGACAGCTACACATTCTCTCAGACCCATAGCATTGAGTTAGTGGAAGGATGAACAGAAATTGTGTTTAAAAAAAAGCAGTGAAGCAAAAGAGGAGCTTCATTCCCTCCTGTCTCAAAAAGATAAAAGCTTTAAGCATTGTTTATCGGATGGTGCAAGTTTTGGTGGTCTAGCAGGTCTTGTACTGTTGTTAGATTTAGTATCACTCAGCATATAATTTTCTGTTAAAAATGTTTTTCTGTTTAAGACACTGAAAAATTAATTACTTAAACTGAATGGCCATTTTGACCAATAATTGAATAAAAGAAAGGGTGGTCTCTGACTTTTGAACAGTAATGTAGACATTCTAGAAAGCAATGAAAGAGAATGTTGCTTGCCTCCAAACAGTAATCGTCCTTTCCTCATTAACTGTTTTTTGTTGTATGATTTTTAGCTCTCCAGACATTCTCTGCCCTTTTTTCTTCGTATTTCTAAATATCATTACGTTTACTGAATTTTATTGCTGTAAAATGCTTTTCACAAAATAGTAGTGGAAAAGTAAAGTGAACTTAGTTTAAACAGGACTGCCCGAAGTTGGCTCATAATTATGTTTGATCTGGCCTGCCAGAAAGTTATCCTAATCCCACCTCCTCACTAAACGAGAGATTAAAGATATGTTTATACTACTGAAAACTTATTCAATTGTTATTCTCTTTTTAAACATACATTTTTAAGTATTTCAGCGACAAAATATAGTGCAACACCCCAAACTGCAACTCATTGAAAGTGTTAAGAGGAAATCAGACAGCATCAGGGACACCGCGTTATTACAGAAAATAACAGGGAGAGTCCTTGATTTTCGCTCTGAAGCGCATTTGGAATTTTGTCTAAATTACTTTGGCAAATAAATCCAAAACATTAATTTCTAGACTTTTACAGGGTGTACCAGTGAGGGTTTGTAAATTCTATAGCCTACTTTTCAATCCTGAGCAAGACCCCTTATAAGACACCGGTAAAGCTAAACTTAGCTCGCTAGCTAACGCAAGTATCCTGTTCCTTGCTGTAGCTCTCTGACCGAGTTCAGTACGTAAACAAACTGTGCTTGACTAGACAGAATGTCTAAACGTTGGCAAAAGAGGATATTTGGACACATCTACATGTGGGAATGGAAACTTACCTGTCGCAGGGAGGAGGGAGAGCAGCTTCAGAAGAGCTGAAGATGAACAAGAAGATACCTACAGACAGCCAGCACATTTTCTTCAAATCAAAACACGTGTACTTTCCACTTTGCAGCAAGAAGAGATCAGTCAAGCCCAGCTCGAGTGCGATTAGATTGCATGGAGCACCAGAGCACAGCCTATCAAACTTATCTATGAATCACACGAGTTTATAGTCCTGAGCTGATTAACTTTGTCCAGGGAGCAGATGGTTTATGGCTTTTTTTTTCCTTTTTTTTAGCTCTGTAGCTGCTGAAGGATGGAAGTGAGGATTGTGTACAGGGAAACTCCACTGATTTTTCTAAAATTCTAGCTAATTAAATGGTTAAGATGTTAGCTAACAAAGTCATTGGGAGTGGTTTGGTGTGAAATGCTCCGTTCTTGAGAAACTTGTCGACTTAGAACTGTTCACAATGGTGGTGATAAGAACCAGACATCTGAAGGGTTTAATGCCTCTGAAAGCTCCCTCTCAGAAAGGTATTAGCTACATGAAATGGCCAGACGCTGTCTGATGCCTTGTTTTGTGGTAAGGTTTTGGCTTAAAATCTATTTTAATCTATTCATGGCGGAGGAGCACATGTAGGGCGTTGTAAGGCAAAATAGTCTCCAAAGAAAACTTATTTTTTCAGATTTATGCCTTTTACCATCTTCAGCATATTACATATAAAACTCAGAAGACGTGTAGGTTCAGTGGCAGTTTTGGATAGTAAATAAAATGTATGTTTGTGTTGCAGACATCATGACCCCTGGTTTAGATCACCACCACTGTAAAGAAATCAGGGTCCAAGTTTCTTTACAGTTAACCATCCAGAACTCCGAATGACTTTGTTTACAACTCAGAGACTGAATTATTCAGATATTTTGAAAATTTGGTGAAATTTCCACCAAACACCTTCCACCTTTGCTTGATTAAAAAAGGTAAAATAAATATAAAAGAAAAATGTGAGATGTGGAAAAAGTCTTAAGGCCACGGTGTGCCAAAGATCACACTGAATACTTACTCAGCCAGATACACTATTTGTCTGATAATGGACTCCATTGCATAAGTCTTTAACACAGCCTACCTTTAAAGGGAAATCTTGCTTATACATGCTCATTGTTCAAAACCTGATAATGTAAGACCGATATAATAACGCTAATAAATGTCATTAAGACAATAAAACTATACAATCCTCTGCCATAAATATTACCTCTGTTGGTCTCAATGGAAACTGCTTACATATTTTGCTTGGCTGTAAAGAAACAACAAACGGAATACGACACCCATGCACTGTAACAGTCTTTCAAATACACTGAACAGATCAACACTTCTATCAATATGTGATTCTTTAAAGTATCAAGCGCAGCATTGACATGTATGGATTTGTGCTTGGGCTCATTCTGCATTAAATTTACAGTCATTCTAACATGGGTTCATCCTACATGACACTGGCACAATGTCAAACACTGAGCAAAGTCCTAAATATGTCAGAGGAGGTCCAGATTGTACGTGTTTGCCATAAGAAATGCAATGACTTCCAAATCACTACATGATTAGCTGGACTTGAAATGCAACCCCCAAATACAATGAAATAAAAACCTGAGAAAGAGGAGGAATAATTTGGCACTAAAGTCATCTGACACACTCCTCCATTACTCTAATAAGGAACGGTGTCCATTAAAGTTGGGTTCATCCAGACCATTATACAATCAACAACTCATTGAACAGAACAGGCGATGGCTTATTAACCAACATTTTATAGTCGGGCTATTGAGAATTTCCTTTTACAAGGACTCCCTGATTGGGTGAAGGAAAAGTACACTGCTGACTTACCTTACCAAGTGGTGGTGATAGGAACCAGATGTCTGAAGCATTTAACACAAGCTACACCACAGAACACTATGTAAAAAATTGTTGTAAATTTCCAGTGTCTCTCAGGCACTTTTTTAAAATCAATGCATATTGAAATGTGTAAAATATTGGTCAAAAAGCAAATAAAATGGCTAACCGAGTTGAAATCATAATCCCCTGGGTCCTAGTCACCACTGTAAAGAAACATGCAACAGTGACCTTCCTGACAATACTCATCAAACCACTCAAGATTTTTTGGTTTTCTTTGTTTTTTGCATTTCTTTGGTTGCCTCAGCTACTGGATTATGCAGAAGCTTTGAGAAAAATCTGTGGAATTCCCCTTTAAAACAAGGCAACAGTTGTATGCAAAGGTGTTTTAAAGCTTCTGCATACAACTATGTACAGCAACAGTTCACTGCACTGATCTTGACTGTCACTTTGCAAGGAAAGGTCTTAACTATTTTAAGAAGAGGTCTGTTAATACATTGACATCAAAACAACCACAACAACAGAATTTCAGTGAGCTTTATTCAAACAAGATTTCCAATTATTCAAGAACCACTTTTTTTGTAAAGCATCACTGCCATAGGTTGCCAATTCAAAAAAAAGAAAAGCCAAAAGTCCAATTTGGTTGTCATACATGGAATATTCAACTGACAATCATTAAAGAGGGGGGAAGGAAAAGGGCACAGTTTTTTACAACTGATTTTCCATCCCATTACTCCAATTTGTGGCTTCAAGTGTTTATTCTTCTTTTCCTATTAAGATTTTAAACCCACCCCTCAAAAGTGACCCCACCCAAACCGATGCATCTTTATCAAGGTCTTACATCCCTCCCACAATCGGGTGTGGAAGGAATGTAAGACCAGGGGTGTCAAACTCCTGTGCAGGCCACAGTACTGCAGCACTCCAAGATGAAAGACATCCCTGCTTTAGCAAAAAAAGAAACGATGCATCAGGGCAGCAGTCCCTCCCCCCACCCAAAATTTGAGGGAAAAAAAAATAAAATAAAATAAAAAACAAAACAAAAAAAAAAGAAACCCTGAAGAATGAGCTTGAGATCCTTAATGTGTTGTGTTTTTGAGCAATCTAATTAAGCACATGGCGAGACGCTCTCCAGCTCAATCTTCAACTTTTAAAAAAAAAAAAAACCTATGGTGAAGGCCAGAGTCATAACCCGCAGTCTATGGCCGATGACGAGGCATTCTGACATGTACAAGTTAGGCCATGTTCTCCATAGCAAACTCAAAAGTTTAAAATAAATATACAAAAGAAAAGAAAAAAGGCAGCTGCCAAATTGCCTTGTTGACTCCCATTCTCTCTTCTAGAGTCACACGAAACTCCTTTTTTGTCTTTAATTACCCTGCCCAAAAATAACCAATTAGATTAATAGGAGATCCACATGTATATCAGGGCCACTGTAGAAGAGAGAATGAGGGTCCAAATTCAACCCATCTCACTACTGGGTGCTGCAAGCTTCCAGAGGACATCACTAAAATAGCAATCCCTCTTACATGTGTCCAAGTACCTCCTTATCCAATGTGTGGATTTTGCTTTTGAGGTGCAATAGCAAAGCCACAAACATAGTTGCAACACCCCACAGCAGACAAGGCTGAACCACAAAAACGTCTCGCCTTTAGTTATATCCTTACTGGGGACCCCAAAGACCATGTTATGCAGCTAACTACAACTTTGTGCTGTCAGCAGACCAACAATGGTAAATGGAGAATACAACAATAATACCACAGAAAATAAATACTCCCTCCCACGTTTCCCTCCCCAAAAGATTAACCTCAGCCTCCGAACTCAAAAGCAGTTGAGGGCAAACGTCTCCTAAGCAAGCCCCAATCAACCCTCAGCAAAATGTTTACCCCAACATCCTTCAATTCTTTTAGTGTTTAAGCAGGGTGATTACAAATGGTGATACAGAAAAACAAAAGTATTTTGGTTATCAGCACCCATTATGCTCTCCCATATTCAGAACCACCCAATTCCACCCCCACACCTCTTAACACTTCAACCCCTAGTGGGCAAGTGCAGCGCAATCAGTGTTGTTGCCCAGCCCCAGAACTTAAGTACAAACTTAAGTGCAGTCCACACTGCTAAAGGCGTAGATTTTGTTTTAAAAGTCTCTGCAGCATCTTGTGAAAACCAGACTTTGAGATGGCCAGCCGGCATGCGACGCACTGAAAGATCACTATCCTTTATCGCTACATTTGTCAATTCTTGTTTTGGGATCCTTTGTGTTCTTTTTTTTGTTTTTCTTCTGAGTGACGATCTACGCTAACTTCTCTCCAAAGCGCCTTCTTCCCCCACCTCAAAGCATCATGTACCAGTGCCGTTGGCAGTGAACACATATCATTGTAACATATACCAAGGTGATTTCTCCCTGCACCCCTCCCCCCCCCAAAATTTCCAATTAAAGCTGCACTGCAGCAAGAAGCATTACTACATGATGCAAATGTTTTCACCTCTTACGATTTGAGTCACTCTGACTAGGGACCCTAGCGAGTGCCTTGTAAGTCAGTATAACAAGCAAAGGCTGGAGAGAAACTTTTGTTTTGCTCAAAATCAACATCTAGTTGAGCTACACAATACCAAGATGAGGTGCCCTTATCAACACTGGTGGTGGGATAATTTAAGATCAAGGCCAAATAACTGAAGCGCCTTTTCAAAATTTGAAAGTGGCACAAATGGGGGGAAGCGGGGTGGGGGGCAAAAAAAATAAATCTACACAATAATTAGGGCTTATTTACAACTAAAACTCCATGCCAATACTTCTGCCAAAAATAAATAAATAGAGTTAACTTTTACAACAAAAGATCTAACATATCACCAGGTTTTAATCCTGGCCTTTTTAGCCATTTTTTTGCTCAACAGAAGCAGAAGGGGGGAGGGAAAAAAAAATGTAAATAAAAATTTAACAAATGCCTTCCAGTGCTGACACCACATCTTGGATGCTGCTCACAACCATCCAGCCTTTTTAGCTTGTTTTAAAACGACCCATTAAAAATGAAATGAAGTATTTACAAAAGTTTACAATGTGCCAAAACCACTTCAAGTGGCACATCTATGACAAGTGGCCACCCTACAGGAAAAAGAAACTGCACAGGAACAAGAATGAAAAAAGGTTCCAATATTTCCACATTCATCTGACTGGGGAATCATCATGGCCAGAGATAAAGGCTGTTGAGTCTCTAGTCAAGTCTCTCGTAGTGTTGGAGCACTGAAGACAAAGGGAGAGAGTCTGGGTCTCTAGAAGCAACATGTTCCATGAGAACAAAATGAAGAAAGCGCCACTGAAGGTATTTTAGGGACTTATGAAAGATCACAAAAACATTAAGTCCCGCTTTAAACAGTCAATCAATACCCACTTCAAGAGGAAAGGTTGCTTCCCCCCACACCATGTATCAGAGAACACACATGCCAACCCTTTTCGCTCTCCCATCACAGAATCTACTTAGTCCATTTTCTATGTCAATCCAAAAAGCAGCTGGGGATGAGTAATGAATCCTCTCAAAACAAATTAAACGGCAGGGTACCAAAACTTGGCAAGTGCAGGATGAGCAGAGCGTGATCCGGAAAAAATATTATTACTTTTGAACAAGTTTGACTGCTTGTTAAGGCACTTGATACAAAATTAACTAAAAACATGAACAAAAAAAAGCACTGCTGCAGAGTGAGATGGAAAGAGCTGGGTGTGAAGGCGGGCAGGCGATGAACAGGTAGGCGGTAAGTAGTCACATGTTTCCTCGATTGATAAGTCAGCTTCTATTGTCCCCTTCTACCCTTCTCTCACAAGTGCTTTAAAATCTTCAGAACATGAAGTGGTGCAGCAGTCCTTTTAAGGGCCATGATTTTTCCCCATTAAATGGCATGTTTCAATCAAAAATCCTTTTGGTGGCGTTTTAAAGGGTAGGAGGAAGACAGACTGAAGAGAACTGAAAAATGACCAAGAAGACAAGGGAAAAAAAAAGAAAAGAAAAAGGAAAGTCAAGACAGGAAGATGGGGACATTAAGGAAGCGTGGGAGTGGAAAGCAGGGGACGTATGTGATTGGTGTTCTGCAATAAAGAATGAGAGAACAATTAGAACAATTTCAATATGGATCAAACCAGCATTTAATATCTGCTTAGAGGAAACTAGATCTAAACTTTGCAGGGCTGCGGATCACCAGGAACAAGATGGGTCACAGCAAACAATTTCCCCTGAATAAATGAGCTTTTGGCATTTATATAACCCACTAAAAATGCATAAATCAATGACTGCCGTAAGGAAGCGTTCTCACCTCATCTGCTCACAGTTTGACCTCCTCACTGCTCTCACTGTGATACTCCGCCACATACAAGCTCTTGTCAATGCTGCTAGGAATGGGCTTGATCTCAGTACCCAGCTGCTCCTCAATGCCCTTCAGGTTAAAGCGGTCATCATAGGTGATCAGATTAATGGCCAGACCCAAGTGTCCAAAACGACCTGAGGCAGACAAAGTTAAATTTAACAGCATCACCTTAACATACACCTACAGCCTTCCTATAATAATGCTGTACTCAAGGGAACTAGCCCCTTAACTTCAGAAGGTAAACAGTGAACAATAAAAAGTTACATAAAGTAAGTTTCCACTTACCAGATCTGCCAATACGATGGAGGTACGTCTCCCCGAGTTTGGGGAAATCAAAGTTGATCACCACATTCACAGCCTGAATGTCAATTCCTCTTGTGAAAAGATCTGGACAAAATGTTTAACAGTCTAGTTATCTTCAATGCAATACTAAATGAACATTCAGGCCTCTATTTAAAAAAAAAAAAAAATAAAAAAACAAAACAAACACACAACTCAAGCAGCGTGGAAAAGCTGATGGTTAACATACCTGTGCAGACAAGATTTCTGCACAAGCCATTTCTGAAATCATGGAACACACGGTTCCTGTGTTCCTATAAAATAAAAAAAAATATATATATATATTAATCTCCATACAAAAAAAGTGTCCAGTGCAATTATACACTTTCCAAACCAGAAATTACAGAATAGCAGCAAGGGTCCAGGCTAACTATAACAGTTTGTCTCTTTGCAGTTCATGCATGAGAAGGTCATCAATTCAAAAGATTTTAAACTGTATTTGGATAACTGTCCAAAAGTAGATATGCACACCTGTCTCATCTTGGCATGAATGTAGAAACAGGAATAACCAAGCTGGGATATCTTCTTGGCCAGGAGCTCTACTCGCTGAGACGAGTTGCAGAAGATTATAGACTGATTGATCTGGAGCTGGAAACATAAATAAAAATTAAAAGCAGCCCTCAATGAAGCCACAAATATGCAGGTGGAATTTGCTGAGCATCTTACCCTAGAGAAAAGAGTATTAAGGCAATGGACTTTCTGCCTTTCAGTAACATAGGCGTAATACTGGGTCACGCCCTTCAGGGTCAGCTCCTCCATAAGATTAATCTCATAAGGCTTCTGCAAATGAGCGTTCTGTATAGGACAAAGATCAAGTGCAGAAATTACACAATCTTACATGCATAACTCAGCATTTTAATGAAAATCACTACAACTAAATATTTAATTGAACCCATTACTCAAATGTAGTTTGGTTTGCTCCAAAAACAAATAAATGCAAAAGACTTAACCCAAGTTATAACCAATGACTTTACCCTGCTAGCAACGCACTTGCTTACCATGAACTTCTGTACACTTAGAGGGAAGGTTGCAGAGTACAGCAGAATTTGCCTTTGTTTGGGCAAGAAGCTCAGAATTTCCTCCATCATCTGCACAAAGTCCTGCGACAGGAGCTTATCTGCCTACTCACCCATGCATGGCACAAGACAAAGAGGAAAAGGAGTGTAAGCGCTTTTAAAACTAACAGATGTATGTGACTATTAAAAGCAATACGAATTCTTAAATTTAATAACTATAAACATCTAAACATTAACACAAACAAACCAGTCTTCAAAAGGAACGCATTGCACTCTTGGACAACTTACCTCGTCCAACACGATCATTTGCACTTGTCCAACTTTAGCAACTCCTTTTTTGATAAGATCTAAGATTCTTCCAGGAGTCGCAATAACAACATGCACTGCATGGGGGGGGGTGGAGTTGAATTAGTTCAGCAGATCAACTGAAATTGATTTTATTCAGAAAGAACCTTTTAAAGACTCCATCGATTTAAAAGAACAAACCTGTCTCATCAAGCCTCATGATGTCATCACGGAGGTTTGTTCCACCTGTGGTTGCCATGACCTTAACCCCGCCCATGTGTTTGCTGACCTGTATGCAGATTTGGCTCACCTGCAGAGCCAGTTCTCTGGTGGGCACAATGACCAATGCTGCAAAGCCATGAACACAGAACAGTTGTCATCTTCAATGTTCAAATTTAAACCTCCATTCTGTTAAACAAGCAATCTACAGTGCGTGCATAAAGAATATAAAAATGCCCATGGAGTAAGTGAGGACAAAGCAGAGAGAAATGACTATAGGCAGGACCTCACCTTGTATGCAGTCCTTCTTCAGGTCAATGCGTTCAAGTAAGGGAATGAGGTAGGCGCCACTCTTTCCTGTGCCGTTCTTGGCTCTAGCCAGAATGTCCCTCCCAGACAAAGCAATTGGAATGCTCTCCTCCTGCAGGGACAAAACCAAAAGCAGTTAGGAGCAGATGGCCCTAATGGGAGCCCAAACACCTCCAAACAAAGCATGCTTAGGATGCAAACTAAGCAGTTACTGAAGGTAAATAGGAGGCATATGCAGGCATATCCTACCCAGATTGAATGTATTTATATAAACTTCAGTATTTAATGTATCAGCTGGTGTGACCTATAAGACATTAGCAAGTGTCACAAGCAACACAGCCCATATTCCATTCTTCTAAAATTATTTTTCATACACACCTGGATAGGTGACGGTTTCTCCCAGCCCATTTCAAAGATGCCCATCAGCAACTCCCGTTTCAGGCAGTAATCTTCAAATTCATTCCCCTTGGTAGCAGTCACATCCTGCAGGTTTTAGAACAGAAATGTCTGCTTATCCGTTTGGATAACCCACAAAAGGACCTGGGTTAAAATCAACCTTAAGTCATTTCTAAAACTGCACCTTTCAAACACATGCAACAAAAGAAAAACATCCTGTAAGCTTTATTACAGCCAAGATGACCAGACTTACAGAGGTTTTCATTCGCATATCCTTTGGAGGAAGTTTTAAGTTCTTCTTCCAGTCATCCCCAGGTCTGATAAAATACAGAAACAATCTTAAGCAGATAAACAATTGCAACAGAAACAGACAGAAAAGATCCTCTCAAATAAACAAATGAGCATGAACAAAGAGAGAGGAAAGAATAATGAATACATTATTTATATCATAACTAGCCCTGTATTACCCACTCAGTTTCATCACATAAAACTAAAAATTGAAGAATCATTCTTGATGCATTTCAACTCATGGTACTTACTTAATGACGGTGTTTGCTGTGGGTACAGGCTGGGAGTTGCCATTGTTGATTGTGCTGGAAGCTTTAATCTGGGTGGGCTGTGTTGTTTGAGGTCCTCCTGTTGGCTTGACAGAGCCTCTCATTTGGCCATTTTGATTTGACAGTCCCAGAATCACTGGGTTCTCTGTTCTGGCTGTACTCATGTCTGTTTAATTTTTTTTTTGCCAAGAAAAAAAGTGAAAACACTGGGAGAAATACCCCTTCGTCCAACAAGCTTGCAAGAATTGCAGATGTCCTTACCACAGCTTTTTTGAGTCCAAAGCACAATAGTTCAAGCAATTATTTTTCACAACTTGTTCCTCAATATCAGTCTTTTGTGGAACATCTCAACATAAATGTCTGTCACTCAAGCAATTAATCACAGCTTCTGCAAGCAAGAAATTCACCGGAACGATTCCTCCACAAAAAAGGTTGCCACCTTTGCAAAAGTATAGTCTCAAACCGAAGAGAGGCTAAGCAGCCAGACGGTTAGTCATTTTAGTTTTATTTTCTGTGTCCACTTGTGTCTCTCCTAATTTTCAATGCTGATGCTTTGAAGATATTTCAACCTGGACAAAAAAGAAAATGTTAGACATTAGACAAAAATAATCAAAGACAGTGAGCCAAAACACTTTGTTCACATTAAAATTATATTTAGCAGTGGGCAATATGACTATTTATCTAAATGTAATGTCTTACAGAACAAAATGCTTTTCTGGGTATGCTGGTGATATTAGTGAAGAACACCAAAGTACATTTTTCAATAAAAAGAAAACATTGGTCCTGTTTAACTGGATTCAGTACACTACATTCTATGAAACGAACAAAACATATTCAGACTTTTTTTTTTTAATACGGCACTAGAGTGGTTTTGTCTGTTCCAACTAATCAAACCATATGTTGTGTGTATGGAAAAATGTCTCCAAGTACTGATAACTTTGCCATATCACTCACTGTTATAGGAGTCTATAAAAACAACTGCTTTTAAAATGCTTCTCAATGACTGCCATCCACATTGCACCTGGGAATCGAATGTGAGCAGTAAACAGCAATCTTCTTGACCCCTAACACAATAAGCACATAAACGTCAGTGTAATGAAAACTGTTCAGTTTAATGAAAAATACTAGCAAGAATATGACCTTGACAAATTATTCCCTAATTGGAGAATGCTTAGATTACTTTTTTTAAACGAAAAAAAAAAACAAAAAACAAAAAACAAAATTTAAGATAGTTTAGAAGAGCTTACCCATTTGACTCGCTGTGGTTTTAGAAACTAAAAATGGCAGTACATAATTGGAAAATCTGCCACTTACGTAAACTAGTTAAGCTACAGCACACAGGGAATAGAATTAAGAACCTCATAGCAAGCCAAATAAACGGTGGCCTGCATCTACCACGATACTAGGAATAATGTTCGACAATAAAGGCTACTCCGTCTCACCATTTTTTTTTTCCACTTTCATGCCGCCGAGTTGGATTTTTGAATTTGGGTCTCGGCCTTGGACAATTGATGTCAACTTTCCTCCTCTTTCCGCCTTTCAGAAAAATCAAGTGCAAGTTCAGCATTTGGCTGTTCGAAAGTTCCCGACAGCGGCTCATCTCCTCCCCCTCTTAAAGCCTGGTACAGCTGTCAGTGGGTAAAATCTATTATCCTGCCATCGAAACAAGGCCGTGCCTAATAGTTTTTCCATCTCAAAACAAACTCACAGATCATGAGGCGGAAAGCAGACAGCTGGCAACACACCAGAATGTGCCTTGACCAACAGGCCGGAGATTAGCTAGTAGCTAACGTTAGCGTAGTGTTAGCGCACATAAACAACCACAAATGAAACAACAAATGGTCTTTGCCAGTCACACAGACATTTAGTGCTGGTAAGCTACAAATAAATCACTATAAGTATGTTTCTTTTTAAGCCGTTAAGCTACCTAGGTTCCAGCATCATGTCTAAAGAGCTAAGGTAACCCAGCTAACTCGCAAGCTCAGTTAGCCACAATCGCTAATCCTTGCGGACTCGCAAAGCATTAGCGAGCGTCGGCGTTCCAGAGTTTTTGAGGAGCTACGCAACGGCGAAGGTTGCCTGTTCACGCTCTCACGCTGAATTTTTCAAGTGGCCTTTTAAACGGGATACTTTCGATTTCGCACCGTCATGTTGTCGACAGGCGCAAATCTAACGTTACCCATCTCGTTTTGTTAACGACGTAACTTAGCTAGCTAGCTGGCTAATTAGCGACAAACACTACCGAACAATGTAACTAACTAGCTAGCTACGACCACCAAACCCGACAGGCTAGTTAGGGCGATGACTGTTTAACATGTCCCCATGGGTTAAACCCGTTCGAAAGTGATTCTTATGCAATGTAACAGTTTAAGCCGACTAAACCACACTTACTGATGAAACTAATACCGCCCAGCTTGCTAGCTAGCTACAGAGCTAGCGTTAGATACTGGCAGGCTACTAATCAATAAACGTAGCTAGCTGTATTTACAGGCAGGTGCAGGCCTGGTTAGCAAAATAAGAGTGGGACTATCAAAGCTGTATAAAACAATTAGGACTGAATATAACGTTTAACTAACTATTAAGACTGTGTAATCAGCCACGGTTAATTTAAAAGCGAACAACGCGACATTCGAATTTCGCACTAAAATAGGCTAGCTACGTGGACGAGCTTGCTAGCTAGCTAGCTAGGTTAACCGTGCCAAGAAGGGTAGGTTACTGCAGAAACAAGGCAGCGACAACCAGCGTTGCTGGAAGCCGAAACACGAAACGTTTAAATAAAAAGTCCTAACGTTACTACTTGTCGGTTCTGCTCATAACGAATAATAACTACGAAGAGGTTGATTTCAGCATACTCACCAAACACGGCTGAAATTACCACTCCGCTACTTATTATTCCTGAATAGCTACGAGAAGAGTTATGTGATATTTTTGGGGGTCTAAACCGAACGGCCAAGATGGCTCCCAGTCATCTTTAAACCCTCCCACCGCCGGTCACCTGACACACAAGAGCAGCAGCAATCTAATCAGTTTCTTTTGGATGGAAATGAAACACAAAGCCGCCCGTAACCTCTGCGCACTGCATTGAAGCAGTCTTCGCCATACAGCCGAACTGTGATAATGGAGACAGGCTCCCTCAGGATGAAAGCGAACGGCATCTTGCCTAATTTAAGGCAGCACACTGGCTACAGCTGAAGGGTACTACAAACAGTAGAAAACAGATGTCACAATGAATCTTTGGCAGTTTATTACAGATATTCTTACGAGTATTTTTTTCTGTTTAAAGTTTTTATTTATTTGTTTGTTTATTTGTTTGTTTGTTTGTGGAGACTTCATCCAGAGAAAGGACGTGACAACATAGATTATTAGAATTTTTTTGGTTTTTTTTCTGTTTAATCATGAAAAAACTATGCATTGATATTATAAAACAAAACTTTTCAGTGATACAGTGAAGTCTACATACTCTGAAATTGGAATTGCACATTTTTGTGATGTACAGCCAGAAATAAAGAGAAATCATATCAGACATTCTTGCGACAAACATATGTAATCCATAGCCCCGACATGTTCACAATATACAAGATAGTTGTCAAATGCAAAGAGTGTCCAGTGCCAGCCAGAAATTCCTGCAGCTCTTTTAATGTTGCTGTAGGCCTCTTGGTAGCCTCCCTCGTAGGTTTTCTTTGTGTTCTGTCATCAACTTACAATGTTTTGTCGTGAACTTGGCAGTGTCACTGTCCGTTGTGATGCTACATTTTCACCAGCTATTGAGAGTCTTCATAGTGCTCTATGGTACATTCAGTGCCTTTAACATTCTTTGATATCCCTCTCATGTTCAGTAGCATTCAACAGTAAGATTGTATAGATGTTATGTCAGCTCCTCAAGGACCATGGTCTCTCAGAAAGATGCAACCATAAAAACATTTAAGATATCTTACAGGAACCGCTGATTTTGAATGTATAAAGTATGTATGAAAAAGCCCTATTACAAAAGAGTGTGCATTTATGCAACCAGGATACTGTAGTTTCTCCCTCTCTCTCTGCATGTATATATATATATATATATATATATATATATATATATATATATATATATATATATATACATGCACACCTGTGTGTGTTTTAGTAAACTAGGAGGTTGGAGAGAATATACTGAGCCTGTGTGTTCATTCTCTTGACTTCCCCTCGGGCTCAATTTTGGGTCGGTCTTCCTAACTGGGTCTATAATAAATTTAACAAAATTTTTACTCTCTACTACAATTACCTCCTCACTTCCACCTTTAAGTGTCACAAGAAATGAGAACTGTACTCTAAAGTATTTCATATCCTAATCGTTCTGGTCCATCAAGCTTTCCATTTTTTCATTTCTAGACTAGGCAGCAACAAAAACTTTAATAAGCTGTATGGCCAGAAGTATGTGGCCATTAAAACATCACATCATCTGGGAAGGTTTTTCACTTAATTTTCGAAAATGCTTCCATTTAGCCACAAGAACGTAAGGTCAGGCATAGATGTTGAACAATAAGGCCAGGCTTGTAGTCAGTGTTCCAATTCATCCTAAAGGTGTTCGATGCAGTTAAGGTCAGGGTTCTGTGCAGGCCAATCAAATCTGGCCAGCTATTTCTTTATGGACCTTCACATGGGGGCATTGTATTGCTCTATCCAATCTAATCTATGACTACAAAGTTTTGTCATGATCTTCCATAAGCCTGACAAAAAGCTACTGCTTGGCTGATGGACATATTTTCTGACTTATCATTTTGTTGATGATACATTCATATTGCCAGATGTTGAAGTATGGTTCATCACTTCAGAGAACGTTTCCACGACTCAGAGTCCAACGACTGTGTTTTACACTACTCCATTTGATGCTTGGTATTGCACATAGTGATCTTAGGTTTCTGCTAGAAACCCATTTTATAAAGCTTATAAGAAGTTGCTTCCGGAGGCAATTTGGAACCCAGTAGTGAGTGTTGTAACCCGAGGACCGACAATTATCACACACTACACACTTCATCACTAAGGAGTCCTGTCCTGTGAGATTGTACACCTACCACTTTACAGCTATGACTGAATGGCATTGTACTTGTTTTCATGCAGCTGTTACCAATGGGTGTGGTTGAAATAGCCACACCCACCAAAAAGATGAAACCTCAAAATGGTTTCTACTTTGGTAACAAGTTTTGTTTCAAATTTGTTACCACAAGGTAATGTGCTTAAAGTCTTATGCCAGCTATAGACTGTGATAATATATTGCAATTATATTGGTTATTTCTTCAACAACCCTTTTTCATAGTGCATTATGGTTCCATTAAAATAATATATATTTATAACATTTGCCTTGGTTTGAAAGGTTTGGTGTCTTCGGTGTGAGAATTACTCACACTTTTCATTTACAAGTTAACTATTGATCATCTTATCTTATTAATTACTGGATTCCAAGAAAATGCCTCCTTTTCTCCAATAACCTCTTTGAGCATATTAGATGACCGTCTGGTCAGAAAGACTGGTAGTTGTTTAGCTCATGTATTATAATCTATATAGATAGATACAAAGAAAAATTAAATAAAAAAGTAGCTACAAGAGGCAACCATAGGGGTCCAAGCATTTATTTGGCAATTATAATTTTATGCCAGCTACCAATTCACAAATTACTTAAATTACTTACATAAAATCTACAAGAAATGTAATGACCCAGCAGACCTTTTGTTTGGCTGAGTTGAAAGAATCTGCAATGAAAAAAAAAATCTCTATTACCTTCAGTTAACAGGTTATGGTCCAAAATATAAAAAGTTGCACTGCACTGCTACCTATTGGTGAAAGTTTGTCAAATGTTAAATACTACTCTGTCCCTGAATATAAAGTTTTGTCATGATCTCCCATTACAAGCCTGCAAAATTATTATTTGGCTGATTGGCTGTTTTCTAACATACCATACTGGTTTTCAACAAGGGTTTAGACCAGGGCACTGCAAAAGCCACATAGCCACTCCAAAAGCTATGCATTCTAGCAATATTAATAGAATATTACAAGTCCATTGTCAACATTTTCTTCATTACCATAATTTTTTGTGCCAAAACCATCTAACTAAAGCAGTCTTATTGGACCCCAGAATGCAACCAATTTTCCAGCTGCATCTTTGGAGAAAATGTTGCCTTGACGCTTGTGTCCAGTTCCAGGCAGGTTATTTTAAACCTCTTAATAGCAGCAATGAATATTTTGAAGTGTGAAGCTATTTTTTAAGCCATTTTATGATGTATTAAGGTTAAAGACTCATATATGCATAAAAAAAAGAAATAGGAATAGTGGTATGTATTAACGTGATTCTGTTCAACGACATTTCTAGGGATGTTTTTTTCTTTTAATATTTAATTGTAAGAAAACCTCATTGAAAGATTAAATATTTTTAGTGTAAGATCAAGTAGAGGTCAGTCATGGTGGAATAGAAGAGGGCCTTCCCCAAACTGTTGAAAGCAATTTCCAAAATGTTTTTGTATGCTGTGGCATTAACAATATCTTTTACAGGAACTAGGGGGCCAAGCTCGAACCCTGAAAAACAGCCCCAGACCATTATCCCTCCTCCACCAAACTTTACTGTTGGCACTATACATTCCATTAGGTAGTGTTCTTCTGGCATCTGCTGAACCCAGATTTGTCCATCGGACTGTCAGATTGTGTGATCAGTCCAGAGAACACATTTTCACTGCTCTAGTGCCAGTGTGCTTTACAGCACTCCAGCTTAGCGTTGCTAAGAGTTTGCACAGGGTTTATGTGGTTTACCTCTTTGTGGCTGAGCTGTTGTTGCTCCTAGACCCTTCCATTTCACTATAAGTGCACTTACAGTTTACCGGGGCATACCTAGCAGGGCACAAATTTCACAAACTGACTGATGACAATGGTATCCTATGACAGTGACATGTTTGAAGTCACTGAGCTCTTTGTCAATGAAGATTGCATGGCTATGTGTTTGATGTGGTTGAAACACCTGAACTCAGCTTTCAATGCTCTGCCACTTAGGCCCCCCCTAGTGGCAGGACCCCTGAAATGTTTCCCTTCTTTTTCCCCTTATTGGCAGCCATGCCAGTGAGCTAAGCACACACTCACACTGTGTAATGTGATGTTATTAGCTGTGTGTTTTTTCCTGTGGGGTAGTAGTTTGAGTAGTTTTGGGCATGGCCTACTTTTAGATGTTCATCTTAGGTGAAGTGCTTCAATTAAGTGTTTTTTTAAAATAAGAAATAGTGGGTTGATGTCATTATACATAATGTTTTAATATGTGTATCAGTATCAGAAAAGAAATAGTAGTATTGTGTCATCTCTACTTCATACCATATTTTGTTCATCTTTACCAAGGGTTTCAATGATTTTTTTCAATGTATGTCAGTTTGCTAAAGTGTCATGCTGCATAACCACATGAAGACGACTGGATCAAGCAATCATGAGTGACTAGTGGGAATCTACACACTGCAAGTTTCAGCATATCTTTCTGTCAAGTTGTGGAGCCAAATCTGCACATTTATTTGAACCTAGTAGCCTGCCTAGACCTAGTAGGACCACAGTAATTTTAGGCAGATTATGCAAATTATTGTGAAATCCAATATGGTGGAAGCACATGGTCCTTGAGGGTTTTTTTGGCTGGCATATGCCAAGCAATCTGGAAAAAAGAATTAACTGTATGACTCAAAGTTTAAGAGGAATGAGCAAAAATGTCAAATGCAGCACTATATTGCCACCATGTGGTTGACTGGCTTAATTTGCCTGAGTAGCAGTGCAGACCTGCGGCACATGGTTCATGGTTTGTAGGCTGTATCTGTTTTAAGAAGAGAAT